ACTAGATCAAGAAACTCGAGTCTATTCTCACTGATAACGTATGTTAATTGTAAACCGATTTCATTGATGTTGAGGTTAGACACTAGTTCTTCAAACAATGAGATAGAGCCAGTCCAGAATAGAAAGACATTGTCTATATAGCGATGCCAACTAAGGATAAATGTCATATCCTGTTAGTAGTGTTTCTTTGAGAATCGTCATTTCCCACCAGCCTAAATAAAGATTTGCATAACTAGTGATTTATCCACTAGTCATCGTTTTGCTGTGTAGTATTGTTCTACGATTGGCATTTTTTTCTTGTGCATATGTATCACCTAGCGGTACTTGCTATCAGATTTTATTACAAAGTAGCAGTAACTCACTGTGCAAACATTTAGCATTTCTTTGTACTAACCCTGCAAGGCCATTGCCGTCCTCTTGCATGTACCCTGTATAGTTGTCTTCGTATTTATGATTAGAGAAATACAGCAACAATAAATATCAGCAGCTTACTGCTTACCATTCAGGCTGTACAGTTGTCTCCGTATTTACGATTAGACAAATACAGTAATAATAAATATCAGCAATTTACTGTTTACCATTCAGGCTCTCCTTAAAACTAACCCTGCATTACGGACAACATACTTCGATCTTCAAGTAACATGAATCAACAGCAATATAAAGTGCCACACTCTATCTCCTTTTTGCACTTATCTGTTGTTCACCCCCTTCCCCCACCCTCCTCCTCCTCATTGCTGCATCGGCTACCATCCATTCACTGTGAGAATGAATGGCAGCAATCTCTCGCTTACCATTCTTTTTCCCTCTATGAATCCACAAATTATGTCAACCAACATTACCTGTAGCCAATAAACCAGACCTTGACATCAAGTAACCATATCTATCTTTTTTCTTATCAAGTGCTACGTTTCTCTGTACTTATCCACAGAGCACATGAATCACGGCTTTCTATGGTTTAATATGACTAATATAGTTTCCTACAATTAGCCACTATTATGAAAGTAGCAAAGACTTATCTCCTATATTGCTTTTACTTTTTCTTATCACTATCCTTCTAGTTACCCATGACATTTTAAATAACATAATAAAAGTTATATTTTATATTTAAGATATTATACACCATATGCATCCTTTTTGTTTTCTGTTTTTTTCTTGCAAATTGTAATCCACTGTTTAGGGGTTATCCCCCATTTTTTTGCATTCTACCCCATAGGTGTTTCACCTTAAGGCTCAACATGTTTTCTTTTCGAGACCCACAAGATTGAAACAGTACACCATGGCTGGTTACTGGACATACTTGAAGACAAGAGAAATCTCAATGTATCCTTCCTGGTAAAATATTTTATAAATAAATAAATACTGGTCACTTGTCCTTTTGAATTTTGCTGTGTTTTAAAAGGTGCTTTATCTTTGTGTTTGTATATGATGTTTGTATCATACAGCTATGTTACATTGCTGCCAGCCACCCCATGTTTGTCTTATTAAGAGTTTATAAGTATGCAGGGGCAGCACCCCTTCCTGTCTCAACAGAGAAATTTGCCTTTTAGCTGATACCGGCAAGGTGATTTGTATGTTTTATATCCCTATTTAGGGTTAATAAGTATGTAGGGGTTTATAAAACACCAATTCATGTCTAATTAGAGATGTTTACACTTTGTCTGATACCATCAAAGTTTATTGTATGTGTAGAAGCCCTATAAAGGGTTAAATGTGAAAGGGTTTATAAAATACCCCTTCCTGTCTTACTGGAGACTCTTGGCTGATATTAGCAAATCTAATGGCTAGAGTAGGACTCACCTTTTGGGGCTTGTCTTGATGTGGCAGGTGAGCTTATATTCAAATGGCCATTGGAATAAAATTAAAGAGCCTTCCTTTTTTTTTTTTAAATGTACATAGGGATTTATGCCAGAGTGCAGGTAACTATCTCTTTGTTTTTACTATCTATTTTAAAAGGTGTTCATTGCTAAGGGTTTCTGTAGAAATGCAGTATGAATTTTGAAAAAAAAGATACCTGTCTGTGCTCATTTATATGTCAAGCTGTGAACTCTGGGATTGTTGTGAAAACATTATTTGTTGAGTTTCTATGCACAAGAAGAATCCCTCAAAGTCCAACTTGAGATATGCAGGTAATGCATAACAATCATTCTTTCACATTTGCCTCTTTTTTTAAATTTTGCCTCTTTATAAATCGCTGGTAAGACCACACCTTGAATATGCTGTGCAATTTTGGGCACCTGTTCTAAAGAAGGATATCATGGCACTAGAAAAAGTGCAGAGACGAGCTACAAAATTGATAGAAGGAGTGGAGCACTTTAGTTGTGAGAGAAGGTTAAAAAATGTAAATCTCTTTAGTTTGGAAAAACGGCACCTCATAGGGGATATGATAACATTATACAAATATATTCGGGGCCAGTACAAACCATTATCTGAAAATCTATTCATAAACAGGGCTATACATAGGACACGAGGTCACACATTTAGGCTGGAAGAAAGGAAAATGTAATCTAAGGCAAAGGAAAGGTTTTTTTTTACAGTAAGAGCAATACGGATATGGAATTATCTGCCTGAAGAGGTGGTTTTATCAGAGTCCATACCGGTGTTTAACCCCTTAAGGACCAAGGACGGTTCAGGACCGTCATCGGCATTTTCCCATTGCCGACCGATGACGGTCCTGAACCGTCCTAACGGTCCTAGTTACTTACCTGATCGCCGTCGTTCCCCCGGCGGCGATCAGCGTTGCTCCCGGTGTGGGGAGACTGCCTGCAGCCCAGACAGTCTCCCCACACTGAATTAGGACCCCTGTGGCCATGTGATCGCTTAACACAGCGATCACATGGTCACAATAGGTGTCCATGTGTCTGCCTGCAGGGGGACTGTCTGTGCTGACAAACAGTCTCCCTGCATGTGTAAAATAAAAAATAAAAATTAAAGTTAGTGTTAATAAAAAATAAAAAAATTATATATGTGTATATATATATAATGTCATACTAAGTGTATTTTTAGATTAATATAAAAATACACTTATAATTAAATTACACACGTATATATATAATATATATAATAACTATATATATTGTATATATATATTTTATTATAAAATATAAATAATAAGTAATTTAAATGAAATAATTTTTTTTAAATAATGATAAAAATTGAAAAAAATATATATATCTATATGACCATATGTCCATATACAAAATTACATAAATAATTATATAAATATATACGTAGACTTCAAATATATAAATATGCATATATATTTAAATTCTACGTGTGTATTTATGTAATATTTTTACATAATTAAGTAATTTTATTGATTGCCATTTGAGGGACTTGCCTGCCAACCCAGGCCGAAAGTCCAGAGAATTTAATTTGCTAGCACTGTATTTTACCCTGTAACGTTCTACGACACCCTAAAACCTGTAAATGGGGGGTACTGTTTTACTCAGGAGACTTCGCTGAACACAAATATTAGTGATTCAAACCAGTAAAACATATCACCACGATGATATTGTCAGTGAAAGTGACTTTTTTTGCATTTTTCACAAACAACACTTTTACTGATGATATAATTGTTGTGATACGTTTTCCAGTTTTTAAACACTAATATTTGTGTTCAGCGATGTCTCCCGAGTAAAACTGTACCCCTCATGTACAGGTTTTATAGTATTTTTGAAAGTTACAGGGTCAAATATTTTTACATTGAAAATGGCCAGGTTGGTTACGTTGCCTTTGAGAGCGTATGGTAGCCCAGGAATGAGAATTACCCCCATGATGGCATACCATTTGCAAAAGAAGACAACCCAAGGTATTGCAATTTGCAATAGGGTATGTCCAGTCTTTTTAAGTAACCACTTAGTCACAAACACTGGCCAAAATTAGCGTTCAATTTAGTTTTTTTACTTTTTTCACACACAAACAAATATGAATTCTAACGTTGGCCAGTGTTTTCGACTAAGTGGCTACTAAAAAAGACTGGACATACCCCATATTGAATACCCTGGGTTGTCTACTTTAAAAAAAATATGTACATGTGTGGTGTTATTCAGAGATTTATGACAGATAATAGTGTTACAATGTCACTATTGATAAATTTTAAAAATGTATGTTTTGAAACCGCAATATCCTACTTGTACCTATAGCCCTATAACAGGCAAAAAAAAGCAAAAAAGCACGTAAACACTGGGTATTTTTAAACTCAGGACAAAATTTTGAATCTATTTAGCATTTTTTTTTTTATTTATTTTTTTATTTATTTTTTTTATTCTTTATTTTTGTAGTGCATAAGCTTTGAACAGATGCATGTGAGGTACCCCAAAGGCAATCCTCCAGCTGATAATTAACAGTTGAACATAGAGGTACATGTTAAATCTAGCACATTTTTTATATAGGGATAGGATAGGTGCTAAACAATATATGTTTTCGTCGCTTAGGGTGCTTAGGTATTCTCATAACACAATGCAACAGCGCTTTACTATCTAGTTATGATATTATTATGCTGTGTCAAGAACTAGTATGTGCATATAAGCTAAGTGTAGAATTAAGAGTTTACAACACTTTCAGGTACCTGCACATAGACTATGTGCTGCAGGGTTGAGACACGTAGTGCTGTATGCTTGCTAATTCCATGCTAATGGCAGGTAAGTGCCTATATCCAATTATACATTGCAGCTTTATAGTTTTTACCACGCTTATTATTTGCCACACTCTGCTTAAAGGACCATGCTTACATAGCTTGAGTTGCGAATGTATTATAAGCCTGCAAAATTAAGGCAGAGACAGGGAAAAACATAATGAAGCTGGAACACATCACTAGCTATATTACCAGGTTAGTGCTTTGAAATTATTCAGGCTATGTCTAGGTCACATTAGTGGAATTTCACCCTGGTTAATCGGCCCAGAGGGCTGCCATCATGGTGGTCCCGAGACCTCACAGACAGGGGGAGTCCCGCCACTACCCGATACCTGCTCTGCTGTTTCTGAGTAGCTGGGAGTGAGTGTCAATCAGAGCAGGCTTTAGGGCACAGTCCCTTCATGTTGTGCATTGGGTTGCTTGCTGTGATCTCTTGCGTTTTCGCTGTAGCTTGTTGCGCTTGCCTCTCTTGTTCATCCGGGGGCTGGTGACCGCCATTGTAGAGGGTTTGGTGATGGCTGCTCGGGTATGCTGGTTTCTGTGTCGCCTCAGTGCAGGCTGGTTTGGAGTAAATTGTGGATGGCTGGAGTCTCTGCCAGCTCCATCCCAGCGCAAAGCAGGAGGCACTGGGGTCGTGTTCCATGTCCAGGCGTGGGGAGAGTCCCTTGAGATAACCCCATGAGTTCCACTGGGTCCTAATGTCCCGCCGTGTCATCCCAGTTGCTGGGTATGTTTGCCTTGCCTTGTTAGCCTTGATGTGCTGTCGAGGGCTGTAGCACCATGCGGTCTGTGGGTTAAGTTGATTGTCCTGTTTGTTCTTCCAGCCCTGGTCGTTAGTGAGGCTTGCTTGCACAGTGCGCTTCTGGGGTTGCAGCTTTGGCATGGGCATGTGGAGGAAGTGCTGGCTGTTATGGTCCTCTCCTGTCAGCTTACTTGTTCCAGAGTCGTTTCGTGGGGGCTTGAGAGCCCTCAGGGACACCCGTGTTAACAGCTCCGGTTTTGAGCACAGAGGGATCACCGTCTCGGTCGGTGCAGTTGCTGTGCAGCCGTCGGCCATTTTGATGAGACCGCGTGGGAGACTCACTTCTCAAGCTTTGGGCCATCCAGGTGAGATGCTTAGGCGGTAGCCTGCCTGGTGTGGACCGGGATGACCCCCCCGGCCCATGGGGGGGGGAAACGGGACCAGGAAGGCACCAGCCAGATGGTAGTTCGCCGTAGTCGGGGTGGAGAGCGAGGCAGCGGCCGTCTGCCCCTCTCCCCTCCCGGGTAGGCCTCAATCTCCGAGCCCCGGAGTCTCTCACCAGGACCTAGAGCCACCCTGCAGCGGGCGCCCCAGCTACACCGGGACACTCCAGAGCTTCGTGCCACGGACCCCCGGGTCTGTATAAGCCGAGTAAGGTGGGTATATTCCATAGTTTCCTCTGTTTGCTCGGGAGCCTGTGTGATATGCAGCCTGCTGGCATGGCCGCCCGGCCCCGCCCCCTATTTAGCAGTTTTTTAAATTCGCTTTTGTAGATGAGTAAAAGATTTTTCAAGTAAAAGTAAAAAAACATGTATTTTTTTCAATTTTTCATCATATTTTTTTTTTTTTTATTAAAATACAAGAGATTATATAAATAATGGTATGTAAAGAAAGACCCTTTTGTCCTGAAAAAAACAATATATAATTTGTATGGGAACAGTAAATTAGAGAGCGGAAAATTACAGCTAAACACAAACACCACAAAAATGAAAAAATATGCCTGGTCGCAAATGTACAACATCGCAAAAACAGTCCAGTCCTTAAGGGATTAAACAGCAATTGGATAAATACTCGCGAAAACATAACATACAGGGATATCATTTCTAATTAGTGGGGTAATAGCTGCTCGATCCAATGAGATATCTGACCGCCATTTTGAGGTCAAGAAGGAATTTTTTCTTAGTTTGTTGCAAAATTGGAAGTCGCTTAAGACTGGGTTTTTTGCCTTCTTTTGGATCAACAGCAAAAACATATGTGAGGAAGGCTGAACTCGATGGACGCAAGTCTCTTCCACTATGTAACTATGTAATATTAAATTTTAAAATAGCCGAAAATATGAAATTAACATTAAATTCCTGACAGTTCATACTCTAGTAAAAAAAATAATAATCTGTAAGTACTTCACTTGGTAAGAGGGAAGTAATGGAAAAATGACACTCGTTTAACAAAGCAAACATGAAGAGAATCTTCCATTCAAAGCACAAAACTGTGCAATAACGTGTCAAAACTGTTGCCAGACTCCTCATGTTCATAAAAAGGGAGAAAATACATCTTTGTGGTATGTCAAAAACTAAGCTGCAGGATGATGATGGTATGTGTATGCTGTCCATGGTTAAAGAACCCACATTAGTGGGACTCTGTGGCACATTTTGCAATATGATTTTAGCTACCCATCAATAGATATTTAAAATGGTTGAGCTATTTTACTGAATATAGATTAGGATTATATGGGATGTGTTCAGTACCTATTTTCTATTTACTTATCCTCTCCCATTCCCATTTCCTTTTCCTCTCCCTGGCTTATTGTTTTACCAGCATTGTCCAATTGTTGTAGGGCTGTGCTGTCACTTCCATGTGGCCCACAGGTCTTTGTTATTGTCTACCCCCACCCTTCCTTGTTATGTTAACATTTATACCTGTGTTTACCTCAATAAACCAGTTGTGGTCTTGTCCTTTCACTTATCAAGTGTTTGGGTATTAAGTTAGGAGAGCTGTTGTCAATCCATCCAGTGGTTGCCTGGTGGCTGTAAAGTACTGTTGTAAAACTCTGGCTGCAGGGTGAGCAGTGTTAAGGTGCCAGGTTGCTGCAGAGATACACTATATGGACAAACGTATGGGGACACACCTTAATTATTGAATTCAGGTGTTTCAATCAGACTAATTGCCACAGGTGTATAAAATTAGGCCAAAAAGGGGGGTGAAGGGCTGCGCTGAATAAGTAAAAAAATTAATAAAAGATAGACAATCTAATAAAAGAATTACAACAGAGTCTGTACACTAAAAAATAGAATATAGAAAAAGTCCAATAGCAAGCATAAAAGATGTCTCACTGGTAGTAGAACAGGCTGTGTTTGGACAGTCCTCAGAGATAAATCCTTCCAAGTTTTCAGGGAATCCGTATATGAAAAATAAAAACACAATAGGCTTCCAATGGTATAGTATGTACTGTGAGAATTAGCGAAGTAAGATAAAATGGAGGAAAATGCACTCACATTTGTTGGAGCTATGGACCAGCTCTTAGTTGTAATGCACTTAGCGGTATAATCCCCGCTAATGGATATTCTTTCAGGATAGGTCACTCCGTCCAACTTGTGTGGCGTAGAATTCCCACGGTATATAAAAACAGATATAGTGCTCTCAGTAGGAAAGGTAAGCATAAAATAAAATAAAATAAGTTATACTCACACTTGTGGAGCAGGAAATACTGCTCTATTTATAATGCGCCGGTGGAATAATCCCCACCTGTGGATTGCTTTAAACAGGAACAGTTAGATGCCAGGAAAAAAATAATAATTTTAAAATGTGTCTATACAATAAAACAGAATTGGTCCTATAAATAAGGGTACCAAATAAAAGTTTTTATTGTTAAAATACACAGTAAAAAACCATTTAACGCGTTTCGCCTCATGGGCTTTATCAAAAATGGCTAAAGGACTGTAACCTGGCAGTGAACAGTTTATATAGCTTTAAACAGAGATTTTGAAATTGGCGCCTAAAAAATGCACCAATTACAGGCAGAGAATAGCATAAATCTTTGTGCAATTACAAATTTGTATGAAAATTGGTTAGGATGTAAAGGAGGTAAGTATATTGCTCAGTATGTATTATAATTTGAAAAACGAGCATTATTTAATTAGATATTTATTAATAAAAAGCGTCACGTGATCGGAGAATCGTCACGTGATCAGAACATGAGCGGCAAATAGCCGGTCGCTCAGTAGGAGGGGAAAGCAACCCACGGGCACGTGACCGGCGTGCCGAGAGCAAAGGCTCTCGGAAGATGTAGTTGTAGCTGGTCACTGCCCACATGGGAAAGAACGGTGAGCGGCTGAATGTGAGCTTTATCAGCCAGCCGCTCACCTCATTAAGTGTACATAGAACACATAAGTCCCAATTGGAGAAAACAACCTTCAAGTCATTATACAAGATAAACAAACATTATGAAAAAATCACATATCATGGACATATTATATACATCTATAAGAACAATAGTAAACCAAATAGAGTGCTTACAAAATATGATATTACATGTAAGAACCAAAATAAATGGAGGCAGGTATTAATATATAGTTCAAATGGAAGGGAGGGTGTTAAAAAAAAAAAATGAGAGATAGAAAATGAATAAAAATGGATATGAATAAAAAATAGGTGTAAATAAAAATAACAATAAAAAATAAGTAAACCATAGTATATAATGTATGAAAAAATACAAAAAATACAGTTATAACCAAAAATATGAATTTTAAAAATCTAAAATTTATAATATTGTTAAATAATGGCTAGTAAAAAAGAATGAATCATAAAAAATTGTGCAGATCGAAGTCTGCATTCAAGCCTTGGGGTGCAAGGGTCTGTAATTTGTAAACCCATTCCATTTCCACTTTGCCTAAAATATTCTTAATATTTCCTCTCCATGGTAGAGTCCATTTTTTAATACCCATGCATTTTAATAATTTGGGATTTTTGTCGTGACTTAAAAAATGTTTGGATACTGAATGATTTAAGTATCCATTTTTAATGTTTCTACAATGTTCACTTATCCTTATTTTTAAGCACCTTGTGGTCATTCCAACATACTGGAAGCCACAAGGGCATTCAAGCAAATAAATCACATTTTTGGTATTGCAACTTATAAATTCTTTAATTGGATAGGTGGTTCTCGTTCTATTGGAAGTAAATTCGATAATTTTGGATGGTAGAGTAGAATCAGTAGTTTTACATACAATACACATTTTACATTTATGAAAACCTTTTGCTTGTGGAAAAAAATTATATTGAGTTTGTATTTTGTTTTTTTTTGGTAAAATTAGTAGTTAAAATAGATTTAAAATAGATTTAAAATTTGGAGCTCCTCTAAAAACTATATTTGGCTTATTTGGGATAATTTCTTTGAGTTTTTCATCTTGTTCTAAAATATGCCAGTGTGTTTTGATTATTTATTTATTTATTTTTTTTAAAATTCTTTATTTTTGTCGTGCAAGAATTTACAACAGTGTCTGTGTAGCCACAACAGCTATAACAGACGCAGTCAAATATAACATAGTAAAGCAATTTCGTGGCATAAGTTAACTCAGCACATTTTTGTATTTTAGTGAACAGAAAAGACAACCGTAAGTGGTGTATAGTTCAACCCATGTAAGGGCAAAAGCATTTAAGTAGCTGGTTCACATGTTGGTTTGCACTTTTGTGTAAGGAGCATGCATACATTTTTGTTATGAGCTTACTTTACATCGTGGTATCAACAAGTTGAGAAAAATATTAATAATAACAATAGGTGGACATATGCTGTAACAGTGGTGTTTCAGCAGATTCGTGCTATGAGGGATAGTACTATAGTAGTGCGATGATACTGTAAGTCATTCGCGCTCTGTAATGAGAAGGGACTACGTCCGCATTTAGTTTTAGCTCAGTTTAAGTGGGAGCGTGTGGTTTGTGCCTTAGAGTGAACGCTAGGTAGGTTACGTCTTGGTAAGGTAGTCAGGTCGTAAATATTGTATCAATAATAAAGAAACAAGGAAACAAGGGAAAATTTAAAAAAAAACAAGGAGTATAGTTTGCTCTGGTATCGTGACATTAATTTTGTCGTGCCGATTCATACATATAAGGAGTATACATCCCCGTGGCGTGTTCCCTGTATAAGGGAGATTAGACTGTGGCATAAAGGAATGTATGTCTGTATATTTTTCAGAGAGCAGAGATAGCTAAATGCTTCTGTTGTCAGAATAGAAGTGTGTATCGCCTATTTCGTTAGTGTGGCTTACGCTGCTGTATGAGTAGTTCAGTATTACTGGCAACCATGTTGTTGCGGCTAGTTG